GGCAAACGTCAGCAAGCCCCAGGCATGCCATAGGCAAAGGCCCCCCCACCCCCGAACGCAGCAGCACATGTGGGTCTCAGCCCTTGTGGTCAAGGCAGGGCAAAGGTCACCGCCCCATGAATGGAGGGCAGAGGTCGCCATCCGGGGGAGGAGCATTGGCTCGAGGGAGGGTCCAAAGCTACCTGTTCTCGTGCCTCTGCCCCCAGCCGGCCGGGGGGTGTCCTGGGGGGCGCACAGTGCGGCCCCGCCCGCCCGCCCCGGTGTGCCTGTCTCGCTAACGTGTGCTCCTGTCTCTCTCCTCCCGTCCCCGTCCCTGTCCCGTCGCCCCCGGCCCCGCCCCGCGGCCCGCCCCCAGTCCAAGGAGCTGCAGATCAAGAAGCAGTTCCAGGACACGTGTAAGATCCAGACGCGGCAGTACAAGGCCCTGCGCAACCACCTGCTGGAGACCACGGCCAAGAGCGAGCACAAGGGCATCCTCAAGCGCCTCAAGGACGAGCAGACGCGCAAGCTGGCCATCCTGGCGGAGCAGTACGACCACAGCATCAACGAGATGCTCTCCACGCAGGCCGTAGGTCGCCGGGCGGCCCGGGCCTGCTTCCCGGCCCCCGCCCCGAGCCCTGCCTCCCGGCTCCCCGGGCCTGCTTCCCGCCCCCTGGCCCCGCCCCGAGCCCTGCCTCCCGGCTCCCCGGGCCTGCTTCCCGGCCCCCGCCCCGAGCCCTGCCTCCCGGCTCCCCGGGCCTGCTTCCCGCCCCCTGGCCCCGCCCCGAGCCCTGCCTCCCGGCTCCCCGGGCCTGCTTCCCGGCCCCCGCCCCGAGCCCTGCCTCCCGGCTCCCCGGGCCTGCTTCCCGCCCCCTGGCCCTGATTCCCGCTTCCCTGCCTGCTTCCCGGCCCCCGCCCCGAGCCCTGCTTCCCTGCTCCCCAGCCAGCTGGCTCCTGCTTCGCTGCCTCCTTCCCTGCCCCCCGGGCAGCTGGTGCCCCCTAGAAGGAAGAGTCCCGGGCCCCTGCGGCGCAGGACTATGAAGAAGCGTGTTCCCACAGAGGAGGCCTGAACCCCAGTGTCCTGGCCAAATATCTGCTCTGCAGTTTTCACACTTGCTCCTCGTACCCACCCACCCCCAGCGCATCCGAGGGGATCTGGACTTCCCCTTCACTTCCTGTCCCAAACTGTGAGGGTGCTGGGACGCTGCGAGTCAGCGCAAGGGGCTCCCATGTACCCAGCCCCCCCACCCCAGGGGGGCTGTGTGCCCCGCCCCCCCCCCCCCCCCCCCCCGGCAAGGGCTCCTGGCCATCTCCGTGTTGCCCCCTAGCTGCGGCTGGACGAGACGCAGGAGGCCGAGTACCAGGTGCTGCGGATGCAGCTGCAGCAGGAGCTGGAACTGCTCAACGCCTACCAGAGCAAGATCAAGATCCACACGGAGGCGCAGCACGAGCGGGAGATCAAGGAGCTGGAGCAGCGCGTGTCCATCCGCCGGGCCCTGTTGGAGCAGAGGGTACGGCCCCGGGTGGGACCCAGGCGTCCGGGACGGCTCCCCTCAGGGCCCCGCAGCGTCCCTAGAGACCGTGCTGGGCAGTGGGACCCACGCGTCCGGGATGGCTCCCTTAGGGTACTCCCCACTTTGTCACAGGAGGGACTGGATTTCTAGGTTTCCGGGTAGGTGGGGCAGACAGGCTGTGGGACGGGCCATGGCGGACCCAGGCATCTGGGCAGGTGCCGGGGAGGGGCCGGCGGGACCCCCGTGTCTGGGCGGTGCCAGTGAGGGGCTAGCGGGACCCGGGTGGTGCCAAGGAGGGCCTGGCGGGACCCTGGAGTGGCTGGGGTGGGCCTGGCGGGACCCCGGCATCCGGGCGGTGCCAGGGAGGGGCCGGCGGGACCTAGGAGGGGCCGGGGAGGGGCCGGCGGGACCCCGGCGTCCGGCCCAGCACTGCCACGCCCTGTCTCTGCAGATCGAGGAGGAGATGCTAGCGCTGCAGAACGAGCGCTCGGAGCGGATCCGCAGCCTGCTGGAGCGGCAGGCCCGGGAGATCGAGGCCTTCGACTCGGAGAGCATGCGGCTCGGCTTCAGCAACATGGCGCTGACGGGCATCCCCGCCGAAGCCTTCAGCCAGGGCTACGCCGCGCCCCCCCAGCCCTGGCCCTCCCGCCCTGTGCCTCGCAGCGGCTCCCACTGGAGCCACGGTGTGCAGAACACCGCTGGCACCCCCCACGCCTGGCGCCAGCCGCCCCTGCTGGCCCCGCCCCCCTCCGCCTGGCTCCACCCGCCCTCCTCCGCTGCCTCCTCACCCGCCTCCGCCCCGGGGGGCCGGGCCAACGTGGTCATGCTGCGGAACAGCCCCCAGCCGCTGCGGCGCACGGCCTCCGGCGGCCAGGCCGAGCCGGGCATCAGCCGCTCGGCCAGCGTCACCTCGCACATCCTTAACGGCTCGCACTACTCCTACTCCTGAGCCGGCCCCCTGCTCGGCTCAGCTTGGCCTGCCACGGGGCCCGCACCCAACTCTGGGCTCCCTGCGAGTCGCCCTCGACCCCCGGCACTGCCCAGGCTACGGGGAAAGGCTGCCCCGAGCTCTCTCCTCGGGCCCCATGGAGAGACAATCCCCACCGGCATTCCTGCGGGGCCCTGACCCGGGAGGGGGCCAGCCTGGCGCCCATGTCTGCTCCCCTGTCCATGCTGACACCCCCAAATCCACACAGGAACATGCCGGTCCTCTTCCCAGCCCCTCATCCCCCACACACACACTTGGGACCATTTGATCTTTGTTTTCAAATCTTGTTTTTTTCCTAATTTCCTTCCCCCTTCCTGTCGCTGGGGGCTGGGAGCCCGGACGCCTGGGTTCTCTCCCTGGCTCTGGGAGGGCAGTGGGGGGGCTGGCGGCTTAGCGCAGGGGGGGCTGGGAGTCAGGACTCCTGGGTTCTCTCCCCGGCTCTGGGAGGGGAGTGCGGTCTAGTGAGTTAGAGCAGGGGGGCTGGGAGCCCGGACGCCTGGGTTCTATCTCCCTATCCCATAGGTGACAGGGTACCTTTCCGTATCTTCCTCCCCGCAAGGAGCCCTGCGGTACCTGGTATGAGCAAGCCCCCAGGTTTGGGATCAGGGTACCCAGTGGGGGTGCTGTGCCTGGGGGGGCTCAGCTTCCCCTGCCAATCACTCAGTTCCCCCAGCCCCCCTCCTCCATTCCATGCCCATGTTCCCCCTTCTCTGGGAGCATCTCTCCAAAGGACAGCAGAGGAGTCTGCCACTGGGAATGGGCTGCCCCTCTCCTGGACTGCAGTGACATGGGGGGACCTGAAACTGCTTTTTCTGTTCCCTTGGGGTAGGGGATTCTTGACACTACCTTTTTGTGGTTATGGGGCAGCCTCGAAACACCTCCCCCATGGAAGTGGGGTGTGTTGATGCAGCGTTTCTGTCAGGCTGAGGGGGACTGGACACTTTTCCCCCAGCACAGAAAGGAAAAACTTGAAAACGCTGTCCATGGGGAGCAGGGCCCATGTTGATCCTCTTTTCTCATGCGGGGAGAGAAGCATGAAATCCATTTTCCCAGGACGGCGGCAAATCTTCATACCATTTTCCCAGCATGGGAGAGTTTGCAACACATCACCCTGTGTGGCGGGGAGACTTGAAACCACTTTCCTCTGGCAGGATGGAGAAACTTGAAACCCTCTTTCCATGGTCTGAGAACCTTAAAACATTATTTACTGTCCTAAAGTTGGAAATCTTGACCCAATTATTCCCCTGGGGGCTATTTTCCTTTGCGGGGGGGATGGGAAAGTCTCAAAACAACTATTTGCCTGGAAGCAGGAGGGGTGGGGGAGGCAATCTTTAAGCACCATTTTCCCTCACAAGGTGGCGAATCTTGCTGAGCGGTTTCTGTGGTTTGCGGGTCAAGGAGACAGGAAAGATTTTCTCCTTCATGCCACAGGGGAAGTCTTGACACAGACTTTTTCCACACTCATGCAATAAGAGGAACCTTAAAACATCTTTTTCTGCTCTTGTGCCATGGTGAAGGGAACTCAAACTGGATTGTGTCCTGTCATGAACTGGGGGAGAAGATGGTTCGTGTGCCATGGGGAGGAGACTTGAAACAGATTTTTCCTCTCACACCATGGAAAGGGAACTTGAAACAGATTTTCCTGCCCAAACGCCAATGCCCGGGTCCTCCACAGCGTGAATTTCTGCACATTTTTTTAAATTATTATTTAAGAAACACTCATCCAGGACTTTGATGGAACAACAACAACCACCCTGATTCCTCCATTTCTTAATTGATTTTCTAAATAACCACCTTGCCCAACCCCTAATGAGGCTGCTTTTGAAAAGGGGTCTGGGGGGGATGGACTAATTGCTTTGTCCTGCTAACTAGCCACGTGGCTTGTCTGTGGGAGCTGGGGGCGGAGGGTCCGGGGCTGATGTATAATATGTATCTCCTCTTCTTTTTAATGATCTTTTCCTTTTGGTGCCATAACCCTACCTTGTACAGCTCCCTGCTCCCTGGATCTCTCCTGTCTTTCATTCCCCCCCCCCCTCCGTGTGGGTGGTGCGTGCGTGTGTGTATCTCATATTTTCTTTTTATATATATATATAAGAAGGAAAATAAGAAAAAAAAATATAAATCTGTGTCCTGATGGAATGTATTAAAATAAAACGAAACAAAAACCAACCACTTTTTAAAAAAATGCCAAGGCAGGTGGCGAGGAAGAAAGGCAAAGGGGGCCGGCGGCGGGTCGGGCGCTGCCCGCACGGAGAGAAGGGAAAAAAACTTTTAATAAAAATGTTGGATATTAAAAAACAAAGGCGGCTCGGCTGGGTTTTTCTATGTCATTGGAGTGGGACTCTGGGGTTCCCTCCTGGCTCTGGCAGGGGAGTGGGGGCTGGTGGGTCAGAGCAGGGGGGGCTGGGAGCCACGACTCCAGGGTTCCCTCCCGGCTCTGGGAGGGGAGTGGGGGCTGGTGATTAGAGCTGGGGGCTGGGAGCCAGGACTCCTGGGTTCTATCCCGGCTCTGGGAGGAGAGTGGGGGCTGGTGGGTTAGAACAGGGGGGGGCTGGGAGCCCGGATGCCTGGGTTCTCTCCCGGCTCTGGGAGGGGAGTGGGGGATGGTGGGTCAGAGCAGGGGGTGGGAGCCTGGACTCCTGGGTTCTCAGATCAGGGACAGCGAAGGCGGGGGGCTGGCACCCCCCGGCATCACACGAGCCCATGTGTGAGCCATAGAGGCGGCTATGTCAGTTCCAGCCCGGGGGGATTGCGCGGCGTGCGACACGGGTGAGCATGGAGTTAAACCCAGCAGAGGGGCCTGGGGTGTCTGCCCAGCTCGGAGTACGGATCCCGGCTGCCCACAGTGCGCCCCACCCCAGAGACAGCTGCATCTCGGCACCGGGCGAGGGGCCCCCGCATGCCCAGCCCCCGCACCCAGAGGGGCCCCATATAAACAGCCCTGGCGCCCCACCCTGTATAAACAGCTGCGTCTGGCATCTCATGTTAATTAGTTGATTAAATTTGGATAAATTAATTAATAATTAAGAAGGCTGCAGCTGGGAATTCCGTGACCCCGCCCGCAGCCCGCCCCAGCAGCTGCAATGACTGGAGCCCCGTCTCCTAGCAACCAGCCTCTAGGCTCTCCCCTGCCCCACACAGTTGCCATAGCAACAGCCTCCCCTGGCAGTTGGGTACCAGCTTGTGCAGCATCCCAGGAGGGGGTGCGTGGGGGGAGGGGCGGATCCAGACCCGATCCTGCTGGGGTCCTACCCCCGACGGGGTCCCCC